TTCCTCTAAATTCTTACAATTTGGAATGGCGATACTGGGTCGAGGTGTTCATACCTGAAAGTACTGAATATTTTGCCAGATAGTTTTTTGCCGGTTACCAATAAATATTTGTATTTGTATGTTGTAGCTATTAAGATCACAAAATATCAACAAACTCTGAACCAATTTTGAAAAATTGTCAAACTACAGGCAGTCCTATTGAGAGCTGAAGCTGGAAACTGCAATACGGCTGCTAAACCAAAATAGACTCTTAAAACCTGAAAAATAAATATGATCATTACGTCGTACCGTTCAATGGTGGGATTGCCTCAACGAGGGCAGATTCATTTCAATATCAGTGATCTTAGAGCCAATACCCACTATTGTTCCAAATTTCAAAGGCTTTCATAACGTAATAGGTCTCAAGTTTGAATTTAGCATGCTGACTGACCAAGCGACATAGAGACAAACACAACAAAATCAACTTAGACTTTTATACGGTTAAGGCGTCACCGAAAAGTGTTTGAGTCGTTACACACGGACGTCATCTTATCGTGGATGGTGTTCACAATAGTTATTATTTATTCCACATATTATATTTTAGGTTTTTTGAGGGACATACCATTTACATATTTGTTTATTGGTCCATTCACATCAAATTAGAAAATATCAAGCCATGAAGCTTCCTAATTTACAGGAGCGCGTTGATTGTACTGTGATTAACTAATATTCTTGTACAAAGACAACCGTTCCATATTGAAAACAATTATTTTGCAAATGTTATAGCACACACACGTAGGATATGTATGTTTGAAAAATGGGGCAAATCATTGAAAACCCGAAACAAATCATTCAAAGGACTAAATACCATAAACAGTATCCAATATACGTTTTAATTCAATTCTCTGGTAGGTTTCAAGGGGAAGGTTTCAAAGAGGGGGAAAACCGCTTCCAATTGGTCCAGTCGCATTTGATATTTCTGCAAAATGGCTTGGACACAACACAAAAAACACATCCTTCGAATGAATAACAGCGAATGTGATCCTCAGTTTTAAAACAATACTGTCTAGGAAGTAAGTTATAATTAAAATACTCACTTGCGTTCATTGAGCTACTACTGAGTTTTATTTGAGTACTACTAGTTTTAATACAACTTATTCCTATGGACTCATAGAAGGTGAGCGGAGAGGTGGAAACCCCCCGTCTTAGTTTAAGTAATTAGCTTTAAATGACATTTTGTTCGTAAGTTTGAAATAAAAGTTTAACAAATGCATTGCAGGCATTTATATTGCGTGGCACAATTTACAACACTATTGTCGTTGCAAAGCATTTCAGCCAATGAATTGTCCCGTGCGGATAAGTGCAATCAAACATTTTCCTAACGAAGTAATGGGATGCCAACAGACAGCTCTTCACATTTGACAACTTTGTTATGAGAGGAGCTCATTGCCAATTGTCCTTTTTCGGTCAGTTATTTTTAAATAAACTAAAATGTTCATTATCCAATTAATTTAGTATTTGAAAATGAATAGCCACAGATTAAGTTGCTGAAATTAAATTGGCATTTGTTTTAACACCAAGTGACTCTCCCCCGGGGAGTGGGTTTGTCTGTCCCCACCCATTTAATCGCAAAGAAGAAACATACACACACATACATATGATGTCAATGATTGATTATTAGTTGCGGCTCGAGTACATGGATGAACGGGATTGAAGCGATCCATCCAATGAACCCAACTCCAGCTGGCGCTGCATTTGTTGCGTTATTCAATTAGCCATTAATTGTGTGTAGAGAGTTACTTTTATTTATCGTTACTGCAAAGCAAAAAGCCAATTAAAACCATTTCAGACGAAGCATTTCCATTTTCAGCTTTACTTGTGTTTTTGTTTTTGTTTCTGTAACTTTTACTTTTAATGCGAATAAATAAAAGAAAACGGCCTATAACAATTAGCCACGGTTTGTGTGTTTACATTAAGGTTGCACCAAAATTTGTTAAATATTTTATACGATTTTTAAAGTTGAAATGATTACCTTATAAATGGAAGACACACATATAATATATAATTGAACTATGGTTCGAAGCTTTAACCGTTTGGCCGCAACTCAATTATTTGTCTTTCAACAACAAATTGCAACGCTCTAACATTAAAACTTAAGATGATAGTCAGAAGTTTTGTGTCCCAGGAAAAATTTGATCTGATTTTGATATAAGAAAAAAGTTGCCAACTTATGCATAAAGGCCAATAAACGCTATATTTTTACTTCAAATATTCGTACTTGCCCTTAATATAGCTTGAAAATTATAATTATTATTTTTCAATCGTAAGTTTGCAAAATCCAAAAAGATGATTACATCTATCTATATTGTGATATTGTATCTTAAAGTACATTTACATATAAATCTTCATCTGAATCAACAATTGAAAACGAATACAAATAATTTTGAATATTGAAATCATACGTTAAAATTATTATTTTTGCTCAATTAACACGGTTAACCGAGTAAAAATTGGTATGCGAACGCGTTATCATGGGATTGAAACAGAACGTTCTTTTTAAAATTTTCGAAATACGTTCTGAGAAAATCTTTTAGCAGAGCCACCATAAAATTGAGAGTAATTTGGGAATGTATTGTTTGAGGAATTTTTATGATTTTTGGCAGCTTTAAACGAAAATATTGCAAAAACCGATATTGGATTACTGATTATGAAAATTAAATTAATCTAAAAAAATAAGATTCTTAAAAAAAAGTATAATTTTAGCAACGCCGCTTAAAATATGAAATGTCAAATTCTTCGAAATTCTTCTATGAATTCGAAATCCACCCCCTTTCAATATCTCTGTGAATTCCCATCACAACTAAGGCAATGTTTAATAACAGCTTAAGCTTTTGTATTTGAATTCAGTGGATTCAGTGAATTCGGCATATTAAAAATAAGTTAATGATTTTTTTTGTGCGTTTTTACAACACCAGCAAGAATCAAACAAAAGTAAAAAAGAGCAACAGTTTTCAACAGTCTTTAGAAAAAAATAAAGATATGATTTGATGAATGGGCGCTAAGAGCACATTTCCAAATTTAATTTTACATTGTTTTTGACTAAAAGTTAAAGCGATCTGTCATAGTTCGCAGATAATTGCCAGAAAAATCTGAAATATTTTCAACGGCTTCCTTACCAATGGAAATATAATAAATTTAAAAATAATGTCATTGATCATATGTGTGATGTAAGTATACAACTTTACATAATCGTGTGTATGCAATTATACAAAAAATAATGCATATTTTCAATAGCCAGATACACAATTGTTAGCTTTGGCTTCAATTACAAAATAGTTTGTTTTCATTACAAATCCCACCTTTAAATGCTGGAAAATTCCCACTTTTAAGTGCTGGGAAATTCCCACTAATCATCACGGAAGTTTACTTTATTCACACCAAATAAACCGTGCTGAATAGATGTGGTTTGTCATGAAAATTTTTAAGCCCAAAAACTAGTTAATATAACATTAAATAATGTAAGCCAGAGGTGAGCAAATTCTCAAAAGAAAACTCAAGGGAAAACTAAAAAACTAAGATTTTTGAATCTTTTTTTACAGGAAGTATTCCCGTACCCTAAGAACGGATTTGGCTAAAAAGTAATGAGACACTTTTTAGAAAACTCCTTTAAAATATTGGGTTACTTTCTAAAAACCCCCAATGCATACAATAATTTTTTTCCGCAAATGCTAGGTTCATTAATGACTATGCCATTTAGCTATTAAACGCTCTTAAACATATTCTGCCTGACCATTTTGCAACAACATATTCTAAAAAATAAGATTTTTTAAAAAGTTATGATCACAAAGTTATTAAAATTAATACACAAACACATCCAATGTGATCTGTTTTAACCAACTTATGCTAATAGTTAGTATTGGAAGCCATATGCTAAACCAATATCAGTGTATTTTATGTTTTGGCCATTTTCAATTGAAAAACCAAAATGCTTTCTGATGGCAAATCTAAATCAAGAAACAACAGCCGTCTCTTTTATTTTTTAATAGCCGCAATACATGTGCCCCCCCAATTACCCCTTTTCCTAGTGACCAGATGTGATTGAGTATTGATTAGAATGCTTCCATTAAAATCAGACACGGTATTCAACATCCCAAACAAAAACACAATCTAACATCGTCACTTAGCGCACAACCCAACGCTGACCAACTAACGCCACAAATCTATTAAAACGTCAAACCTATGTTGGACGTCTGCATGTCGGCAACTATAAATTGATTTGATGTGTTAATTTACGATAATAAAAAATGATTTAGAAATAGCAAATCAAATTAAACAACGCCACGCAATTTGGACAAAGAAAACAAAAATGATGAATGTTTAGACTTGTTGGTTGGCCATCGGACCGAACAACACCTCAGATTTGCAAGCGGCCAAATAAAAGCATCCAACAAAACAAACGACCCAACAATAAGTCATATGTCATCGAAGAAATAAGAAAGTCAAAATATAGCAACGCTTAAAGAGATCAAAAGAAACACACAGAAGAAACGTTGAAACCGGATGTAAGGCCATAAAAAGAAGACAAGATAAAGAAAGATATATACGTATAGCGATAATAATAGCAAAAAGAAGAAAGTATTTGATTTATACTCGTATTTATTGTCCAGTGCTCGGTTTTCACACACACACAGAGTATGGAACAACTGATATCATCGATTCGAAAACCTGTTTTAAACTTCTAATGAAACAATCAGAAAAATAGCACACAAATCCAAAACATTTTGGTTCAACGCAAGAATAAGAAATGAAAAAGAATGGACCTAGCAGAAACTTAGACTTCCACCCAACCCAACGACTTGTATAACATGGGTGCGGGTTATTTATAAAAGTAATTGAATCACCATCGAAAAAAATTTAAACCATAGGTTACGAGCTAGTGCCTAATAAAGATCAAGATCCTTAATCCACAGACAATTTCAAGTTTATACGATGCTGACAAATTCAAGCGCCTTTCCTCTTACCTTTCAGGGGAGTTTTTATGGGTGTTGTTTTGCCATCTATGCGTCTGGTATTCAATTGGAATTTCTTAAGTGGTGGCGAACCCTTGATGCTGGTTGTGCTGCCACCTGTTGGACTGCTAGCAGCCGTCGAAGTTGTGGATGGAGATGGCGTTGTACAATTGCTCTGGGCATTGAAACGTTTTTCTGAAAAGACAATAAAATCTTATTATTTAATGTAAGGTATACTTTTAGGAGCATCGGTTTTAATTGGCGTCATTGCTATTTACAGCTATTCACTACTCACAGCAACAAATGTTTAGAGAAACATGTGTCGCAGCAAATGTTGCTAAAAGGTTTCTTCTCATTATTTTCACTTACTGCGTCGTCCATGCTTTTGGATAATTGCATGGATGTAATCAAAACAAAACATATGACCCCTCTTGAATCACGTAATCTTGATGGGTGTGCTCTTTCCTATTTACCTCTTGGAAAAGCTTTTAAGAAATTTGATTTCAATTGTTTGAAGTGAAACATTGAAAATATAAAATTTAAAATATGTATTGTCAAAAAAAATTAGAAATCATTTACAAGTCTACAAAAATAGGTATTGGGTTTGTGTCTTGTGATTCCCCAGTACAATTGGGGAAAAAGAAAAAAAAATAAAGTATCCACTAAAATGTGGAATAAAATGATAAATTCTTCAAATAAATAAATTCCTTTTTGCGACAAAATATTTAACATAACTACAAATAATATGTATTTTAAATTAGAGTTATTACCTCGAAACGTATCGTAAAATTCGATACTCTTCGTCGATCCCAAAAGTTCAAAACATTAATTTCTTTGAATGTTATGAAAACATTCAAGAGTTCAATATTGAACATACTCAACTTCCACCGAATGAGAATGACTTATTGAAATCATAAACATATCAACTTTTATTTACTTATATTTAATCTAATAATTTCAATTGTTAACAATTTTAAACAATATTTTAAAATCTGCGCTGCTGAAAGACAAGACCTCACTCACCAGACCAATTTCTCTTTGATTTTCTACATAATAAAAAAAACAGTTTTTGTTTTTTTAAATCGGCTTTACTAAAAATGTTGGACAACATCGGAGTTTGAAAACAATTGAAATGCTTGAAATATAAAGAAGGGTGCAGTTTTTGTTTTCTCTTAAATAATCTCTCTTTTGGACTCATGTGCTAGCACACGGATTTGAGCAGTGCTGTTTTAAATAAATAAATTTAAAGTTAATAAAGAAAGATTAAAAATCGTAATTTTAGTTCTTCCTCTCTAATCTGTTTCACGCTTATTCACCCTCACCTCTACTATAAACACTCCATTCATAGAAATATAATGGTGTTCAAAACATCAATTTCACAGCATGAAACACATTGAGGAAATTGAAGTCATCAACAGCCACTTGTTCTGCTTTCTAATTAACACCTACTCTTTTGCCCCCACTTACCCCCATGTAACTGTCAACTGGATTCGAATTAGTTAACATGCACTTGACCACCGTGATCGTTTGTAGCCAGCTTCACCAACAATACACTTCTTCGGTCGGAACGCATTCACAAGATGCCTTCAACGACGAGATGCAGAGACACCCATACAAACCGGTTTACAATGGCTGACCAAAGAAGATTCATATACGATGTTGGCCATTTATTTCGCTTGACCAAATTTAGTCAGAGCCGATAAAGACCCGCTTCTTTTGTTTTGGATTTCTATAACAGCTGCACTTGTCCTCCGCTTTCGTTTCTTCTTGCGCCCCCTTCACAATCACAAACGAAAGAAAATACGGAGTAAAAATGAGAAGAGAGACTCTAATTTTTAACATCATTAACACCTGTTATCTATCATCGGAGTGTGAAAACGGTTAACAAAACAAAAACAAAAGAACTAACAACAAGCCACAAAGAAAATCAAACAAAGATGAAGCAAGGTAATAACACGTAATAGACGCTAATATACGAATGAGATCATTTTGTCCATTTGTTGTTTGTCATGAGTGCAGTGTTGCTCGTGAGCAGTTCTGCATGAAGAAGGAAAGAGAAAGATGAAAATTGTAATGTTTCGGCAACATGTTGCTGATATGCATTATATCTCTTTTTGTGTGCATTATCTTCTATTCTCCTAGAAGTCTCTTAAATACGATTTTCCCCCCATTCAGTGCACAATTTTACCTTCGAAGAACATTCAACACAACCGTGTCTCTCGATATCTTTTACAACAGGTTTTTTGTGTACCTTTGTTATTTCTCGATTTGTTGGTTTGTTGTTATGCCCGCTTACGGAATTCAATGACGAAGTACCACATATTTGACGATCTTGTTTTGGTATGAAAAATAGAAGCTGTTTTTTGGATTTTTGTTCCAAAAAATAAAATATTTTTAAAGTACCACCTCATTAATTGTTGTACATAAAAACGCAAAACCACATAGCCCTAGAACCAGCTGATCATACCACTCATAATCTTCACTTGCATAAGCACAATTCCTCATAAATCCCATAACAATTATTAGCATTCTTTGGCATTTGAAATGTGGTCCAGTGTGGGCCTCAAAGTAACCGAGATCATCTTTTCCAACAACAACTTTTTCACACAGACTGCCCACCACCACTCTTGATCCGATGAAATAATCAGCAAAAAAAAGCTCACCGATGATGATGGTGGCTAGTGCCGACAAGCGCAAGTGTGAATGAACAGCGCAAACAGCATGAATGAATTGGGGTTTTTTTGAGTGGGCTGCTTTACGCTAATACGCTGATAAATTAGCATTGAACTATATTTTCCCATGTATGGGCGAAATTTAATTCCACTTTACAAAACGTTCAACCAACAACAGGTCTTATCTGCTGATTTGATGTTGCTTTCAAACTTAATTAGCATAAACAGTTTGAATGGGTAAAAGTGGGTAAAAGACAATAACAACAATTATTTATGAGATTTATGTATGTTAATTGGTTTTTAAGTTTAATTTTTTTTTGAAAAGAAAAAAAGTGAGAATGCAGTGTGTTAAAATATTAAATATTTAACAAATGTGTTGCCGAAAATGTATGCCAAAAAATAAATATGAGTTTTAAGTTTAGATTAAAACGTATATCTCTTAAATACATAGAAACAAATTTCAAAGAAGAAAAACTCTAATTAAAATTAGAAACTTTCCATGACAAATTTTGAGTGCCTGAAAATTATATTTAAATATGATGATTTACGGATAACGTAACGTAGCATGAAGTTGCGGGGGAGCTATATCCAATTTTACACCAATAATGTCAAAATTTGGCAGAGGTATTCCTGAGCTGCATCTGCTATCGTTGTTATTGAGTGCATATTACGGATGGGAGTTATAGCTGAACCGATTTTCTCGAAATTTTATGTACTTGTTTCTAGGCTAAATTTGGAAGTCTCCGCCAACATACATCCAATTAAGGCTTATACCTATCTTTTGTTACCCACAGGTTAACGTTGTACTTCAAAACCTCCTCCTCACTCCACCTTAATATTGTCAAGTTCTTGCATTATTTGCAGGGAGAATATGCAATCAAATTAATTAAATTTAAGTTCTTGTCAAAGTCTTTCTCTGCTCCTGTATCTGTGTTTTTGTAACATACAAAATTGCAATAAATTTTTCTTCATAAGTTGGACTTTAACCATTTATTTCAAATTATTCTGGCGCACAACGCTTTGATGGAAGCGTCAGCTAAGGTTGCTTAAGTCGCTAAAATACCGCGCCACTAAGAAATTCACACGAAAGTGCTTCGGTTTGTGGCACGAAATGTTAAATCAGTTACACGTCAAGTATGTCTTGCATTTCAAATGAGGCAGTTAACTTTGTACTTATGTAATCTATCTTTTGAGCCATCGCACGGTGTTTCTTAACAAAAAAAAAATACATTTTGGGAATTTTTGATAGAAAGTCAAATTTCCACAAGATTTGTTTCGAAATACAATCTTCTGTTTGGGATGTCTAAAATATTTTCAGATATTTGCTTGTTGCGCAACACGGTGGGTCAATGAATACAATGCCGCTAGACATTTCCATGCAACAAAGTCTATTTTCAATATTTTCACACATTCCTCCTTGCAACATTCCTAAGTAAAAAAAATATGATGGACAATTAAGTCAGATATCTTTAGATGAGCCAAAAAAAAAAAAATACTGAACTCAAATTATTCCAAAATGTTAAAAGCTATGAAGTTACTCCAGTTATCACAGTTAAATACTTGATTAATGCTACTTTCAAGAAGACATTAAAGAAACAACGTTACTTATATGAATTTGTGAGATCGTCATTCATTCACTCTTGTTTTTTTTGAGGAACATGCTAAAATATGCTGCCAACAAAATATAACTTCGGTGGACAGTGTTTCTTAATAATTTTCAGTTTTTAAACTAAGGTATACTATGCAACACGAAAATTAGTATTCATATTCTGACACCCCAAAAGAAGAGGTGACCTGTTTATTTCGTGTTTCGTTTATAATCAACTGTTGTTGTTTTGACCTTTGACCTTGTGAGACCCATATCTTGGAAACTGTTTATAACTTGGATATTCTCTCTTAGGCAAGGTTTTAGCACACAGATTCAAAATTTGGACACATAAAATCCATAAGATCCTTCATTGATAAAGTCAAATTAGTTTATATTTTTTATCGGGCTCTGATATATACATATGAAACCGTAAAAAATTCAAACGAAAGTATACCAAGATTACAGCAAACAACTTTCTAGAGAAGTAGTTCTTAAGTCAATTTTTACTTTCTTACCGATTAAATATGTAGATAGCAAACTTTTCAAAAAATTAATCTTGTATGTGATCGCTCAAATAAAGTTCAGGTAGTTGTGTATTGAGATCATAGGTAATTTGGTAATTTGCTTGAATTTGAAATGGTTTCGTGTATATATATATCAAACCCAGAAAAAAATTATAAGAAACTACCTTGCCAATTTTTATCTTAAAATTAAAGCTTTATTTATTTTATGTGTTCACAAATTTTGTTTTGAGTAACAATAGCTATAACATTGTCTCGGAGAGGAAATCCTAAATTCTTAATGCTTTGCATGACATGTGCCTTCGGACACGAAGGTCGACATTTTTTGGGCCCACAACAGAATACGTTTTTTAAAACTGAAACACCTGTCTTCTCATTTTTGTCCTTTTATCATGCTACGGTGTCAAAACATAGTTAATAATCTTTGAATAACAGTCGTATTCATCTGAAATTTGTAATGGATAACTCTACAACCTGTCATTTACATGTACAGTGCACTTAATATAGTTTGTGTTTTTATCAAATAAAAATCCGTACCATTGTCGAGTTATCATGAGAAATCATATATTCATTATCAAGACTTGTAAAGCGGATCTTTCAATGGAAAATTAAGAGACTATTAGTAAAGGTTGATACACCTCCAAATTTATTCGAATAATTGAAATGTGGCGCTCAAAGTCAAGTAACAGGTACACCCACATATTACAGATCATGCCTATCATAGGAATCATTTTTAATGATTATTAAATATTTGAGTTAATTAGATAAGACGCCGTCTTACCCCGCTAGCTTTTCCGGTGAATCACATCAAATCCAAATAAATTAACTATGAGTTGACACAGCTGAAAATTCCAGATAAATTTTAATTTCATTTTTCGCATCGGAACCAAAACAATTTCATCATTTGCAATTCGATTGCTTAAAAGACCAGTTTAGCTAGAATGAGAGGAATATGGTACTCAATACTATTTTCTTTGTTCTAATCTGTCAGATTTTAGCAGTTCCAATCAAGGGCGAGGGCTACTTAGGTTATGGACCTGATTTAAAAGGCACTGCCGGTAAGTATATGATGAATTGTACAGGCACTTAATTTTAATGGAATATCTTTGCTTTAGGCGAAATTTGGCCCAAACCATTGTGGCAGGATGATTCAGGTCGTTATTTTGACATGGATCCCAATAATTTTAAATTTGTGGTAATGCACACAATACTCAGTGCCATCGAATAAATTTTCATTTGCTCTATTTTTTTCGCAGGCTGTGAACAGAAATTGTCCCCTACTTCAAGATGCCATTTCACGGTATGCCGATATCATTCGCAAATCGGCTCAAGGTTATGTCAAGGCACCACAAACAAAAGTTGTGCGCCGAATTCTGAAGCTAAGTGTCAATCTGACAAGAACATGCGAAACACTTCCCAGTTTGGATATGGATGAGTCATGTGAGTGGGAATGTGCCGTTTAGCTTCTGCGGTGTCATTAATCAAGAGAACAGAATTAATTAAAACGGTTTCGCCACATTTCAGATTATGTTTGGGGTGATGGCCGCATCATTGCAAATTCCATCTGGGGGATATTAAGAGGCCTGGAAACTATTTCACAGCTTCTGGTGCCGATGCCCAATGGAATGGTAAGTAAACTATTAACTCTATAACAGGAGACGAGGTGTCCCATGTGTGTGTTTGTGTGAAACAAAATGAATTGATAATTGTCACCAACTCATTTTGGCGACGTACCCACACAACAATCCTTTCCTTTCAGCTTCGTATACCGGAAACAGAAATTTATGACGAGCCACGTTTCAAGTATCGAGGCCTAATGTTGGATTCTGCTCGTCATTTTATAAGTAAAACCAAAATCCTACAACTTCTTGAAGGTATGGCCTATAACAAACTAAATGTGTTCCACTGGCATTTGACGGACGATTCGGCATTCCCATTCAGTTCAGCAGTGTATCCCGAACTGTCGCAAAAAGGTGCCTATCGTCCGGAATTGACTTACTCCCCGGAGGATGTGAAGGAAATTGTGGAATTTGCCCGGAAAAGGGGTATACGTGTAATCCCTGAATTCGATACCCCAGGTAGGTGACATTCGCAACACATTTGGGTAGGAAATCACGATTTGGAGTTCTTTCAAAGGTCACACCGCATCTTGGGGTGCATCTCATCCAGAAATAATGACAACCTGCTCCGGCCAATACAATGGCCAGCTGGGACCCTTTAACCCAACAAAAGAAGCCACATTTACACTTTTGTATAAATTCTTTAGGTGAGCCTTTTCCACAATAGTCCCATGTAACTCTCATTACACTCCCATCGTTTCCCCAGTGAAATCCGAACTCTTTTCCCCGACAAATATTTACATCTTGGTGTTGATGAGGTTAATCCTTCCTGCTGGGAAAGTAATTCCCAGATTCAAAACTATTTAGCCTCCAATGGCTTAGATAATGGCGACATACCCTATTTGTATTTGGAAAGATTCTCAGCAAATATTACGTCGTTGGGTTGGAAGCAAATGGCGTGGCAAGAGGTAAGAAAAGGATTAAACCTTCCTGAGTTGGACAAAAAAAATAAATACCATTTTCAGGGTTTCATAGAAAATCCATGGATGGCTTGGCCCAAAGACACCATTGCTCAGATCTGGTTTGACTATAAGGCAACCGCTGCCACCCTTACTAAACGTAAATTCAATGTCATACGAAGCCAAGACTGGTATTTGTACGTCTTGGAAACAGGCGGTGACTGGGAGAAATTCTATAATGTGGAACCCACCGATTTTAGTGGGACCGATGCCCAGAAGCAATTGGTCATTGGCGGCGAAGCTTGTCTATGGACCGAATTCATCAACGAGCACAATGTCTTGCCGACCACCTTTCCCCGAGTGGCAGCTGTAGCCGAAAGGCTTTGGTCCGAACAGGCTCATCGAAGCGTCGATGAGGCGAAACTACGCTTGGAAGAGCACAATTGCCGTATGGTCTACAGGGGCATTGAGGCCAGACCGGCCAATAGTTTTGGTCTTTGCTAGTGTAAGTGAAGCAAAAACCAACAACAACAACGTCTTAATAAAAAATGTTTGCAATTAAATCGAAACGTTTTTGGTTTTCATTACAACTATGTCTGGCACTTACGTGTTAATGTTAAAACCGCCGGTTTTGGCCGTGTTGAAGAACCATTCGATGTTTGTTGAGTTTTTGGTGGTGGTCCCAAATCGGTTGGCGATATACTCAGATTGCGCACATCGCGTTTCTTGGCTGCTCCTGCAAAGGAAGAAAAGAAAACGGAAAACAAAATGAAAAATTACTGTTAAACAACATTAAATTGCTTGGATCCGAGTAAAAGCTATGCGCGAGCACGCTCTGAGAATTATCTACATTTGTGAAGAGACCCATTAAAAACTTGAACGATAGCATAATTTCATTAAATCGTTATGTTACAAACGTGACCATTTTCAAATTTCACAACATTTCGGGTGTGGGGAGAGGGTGGTTGTTTTTGGTGTACGGAAAGAAAGTACTTCTAATCAAATATCCAGCACTCAAATATGCATTCTTTGGCAAAACTAATAAACATTGTTGGAATTTCCATTTGGAATTCGAGTTAATAGAAATTATGGCAAAGAATGCAAAGATGAAGTGAAACTTTTGAATTCCGCTTTAAATGATTTCATTTTAGCAAGCAAGCTGTGAGTGCAAGTTCCTCCTCATGCGAGCATTAAAACACACATTGCGCCTAAGGTTAATATATTTCTGACATTTGGAGATAAATAGAAAAAATCACTCAAACGTAGATGTGAATCTGCGGTTCCTTTCATTGACAAATGAAGTAATGTTCGGAAGATAGACACAGCTCCCCCATAAACGAAGATGAAGTGAATTCATTCAATACCCTGTTTTTTTTTTGTATTTGTAAACATCCATTAAACAAATTTTCAGTAAATGAATCGAACAAAGGGGAAGCGCAATTTCGCAACTGCAAACACATCTGTTGGCGGAACACACATCGAAGGAATGGACATTGCATTTCCTTATTGGAAATAGTAATTTGCAAAAGATGCAAAGGCATACAGTGACTCCGACACTAAAATCTGCTGTAGATTTTAAACAAATAAACCAAATGACGATGTAAGGTCTTTAAGGGAAGTGGAGAAGGAAAAACCAAGGGAGAAGGAAAAACCAAGGGAGAAGGAAAAACCAAGGGAGAATGAAAAACCAAGTTGAGTTCTGACAAGAATCTTTAAACATTAGAAAATTAAAAATTTAGATTTGACAGAGATATTCTATTTCTGAGGCACCAAAGTTACAAAAAGTTATCCAATAACAACTTAAATTGTTAATAAAATTTGGCTAAATTTTTCAATATCCATAAAGGAATAGAACCATACCTTCTAAGAATGAGAAAAATATACTGCACATTTCTTTCTATTTCGGAATAATAAGTCTTCTCTTAAAATACGCAACGCTTCTGTAATTTTGAACTAATTATATTACAATTTTAGTGGAATCTGAACTTATCATCCAAAAAGATTCTAAAATATGTTAGGACCATGTACAGGGTGAGATGAAAAAACTGCTACCAACTTCAGACTGTTGTCATTTCTAAGTCACTCGTCCGACAGCAGTTAAAATTATTCCAGTGAAAGCTCATTATATTGTTTAAAAGCGTACAAAAACAATTTGGTGACAATTTTCCAGAAAAAAAAGTTATTCGTGATGGAATTCAAGCGTGATAGTGGCTCGAAAACCGCATGTGGCTATAGTTAGAGCACTCCAGCATTTAAATGTGAATAAATCTTTTGTGTCTCGTACCATCGCTCGTTACCGTGATACAGGTAGCGTAGCCGGACGTCAAGGAAGTGGACGGAAGAAAAGAGCAACAGCGGCTTGATCGAAACCCGCGTCGCAGTGGTCGAAAAATGGCTCCTGAGCTAAGCATACCGCAATATTCCATTTGGCAAATATTGAAAAATGAGCTCGGGGTAAAGCCATTGAAATTCCAAAAAGTGCAAGAACTTACACCGCAACGGAAAGAAAATAGGCTCAAAAGAGCTAAAGAGCTGCTTCGCTTGGCCGAAAGTGGTGAACTACCGAATTTGGTTTTCTCCGATGACAAAACATAAGAATAAATGCCGAATATTATCGCTGAAATATTCAGGAGGGTGTATTAAAGCTTTGGGCATGCAAACATTTTGGTCGCAGACCTTGTACATTCCACCAGGACTCAGTACGCGCCAACTAAGAATGGTTACAAAATAAGGTTCATCGCTTCATTTCCAGCGCACAATGGCCACCAAAATCTCCGGATACAAATCCGTTTGACTATTGTGTATGGAGTATTTTGGAATGCAAGGTTGGCACTAAAAAATACCAAAGTGTAGATCACCTCCAGCAAGCGGTTTGCCGGGAATGGACCAAAATACCGCAGAGCAACATTCGGGCAGCGTGTGACGGTTTCATTGGCCGTTTGGAGGCCATAATTCGCGCCAAAGGTGACCAATTCGAACAAATCTAAATTTATTCTAAAATTTGATGCCATTTCCGACATTTTTGTTTTCATTCAATAAAATTTAAAAAAAATATATGGCGGAGGGTATAATTGACATGAATTTGCTTATGAATATTAAAATCTATCCATTTCTGAATTATAAAGACACTTACCTTTAGCACGTTTTCCAAAGCTACCGAAACGCTCTCTTTCGATGACCTGAGCGTGGATATATCGTTCGGAATAAGAACGCGATAATTTCTCTTTTGAACTGTGGGCGCCCATATTTATTTAATTGATCAAACACTCGCTTCAAATATTCTTAATATTTTGACATATTTTTTTAATTTTATTTTCTACAATTTTTTTTAATTTAATTTCATTTATTCAGTTGGTTTTTTGATATTCTGGAAAATTTTTGCAATTACGATTTTTAATTGAGTTAAATTAATTGGTTTAAATATTATTTTTTGTTGTGTCGGTGGAGCTTTTGTAGCTGTTCTAATATGTGAAGGGTTAGCCATTTAATTTCCTCATGAAAGAGGCCACAAAACAAATGTTTCGTTTATTCGAATTATGTTCTGGTATCCACCTTGGATATGTCACTCTTGTAGTTCTCAAAATATTATTTTCCCTTTTCAATGTGAAATACATTTGACTGCCACTTGATTTATTCAAAATTGCCAAACATAAATTTCTACAACGAAAAACACTCAAAAAATGTGTATTTTTCCGCCATGTCGTAAGGGGGACGAAAGAGTTTCATCACATTCCGGAAAAACAGATATCTTCAGTTTGTAAATCAAAATGTATTACAAAAAATGGAACGTCCGCAATTATTAATTTTTAAACAATCACTTACGCCTTGAACAGAATGTTCCGATGCACGAAATGTTGCCCAATTTGTTGAATGATTCGTCACTCTTCATCTTAGAAGACCAACATCATACAGCACACCCCACGCAGAGATGAAATTGAATGAAAAACATAGAATCAAGCAAGGTCGAAAGGAAAAATCACACAACAATGTAAAGCAATTCACCCCACAAAACTTTTTCATTATTATTTTATGTGTGTGCGTGTTTGTTGTTGTCTTATGCTGTGGCATGGCCAGGTGTTTTCTTCGTGTCTCCTCAATTTGGATTAGGGAAAACATATATCCACGTGGTATCAGAATCTAAAGACAGAACGGCGACTGGCTTCCTACTCACAACTTTGCTATCTTGATGACAAATTATGGCTGAAATTAAGAATTCCATGGGAAATGTTTTACATAGTTGCCAGATTTGATGTTTGATGCCATAGTTTAAAACTTTGTTATTTGTGTTTCGTTGAAATCCGGGATAAAAATTGTTTTATATGTATAGGAGTGCTACTTATTTATTTGAATTGATTTAACTAAATTTAATCTGCTTTAATCTGTGAATGTAATTTCGAAAGTAAATGTAATTTGCTCCGTGTCAAATATCAGCTTATTCGATAAATGTATCGGCTGTAGCGCCAGCTTAAAATATGAATGACATTTTAATGTGAAATTTGATTGCATGCTCCGATACTTGTCTTCTTTGGACCGACAGTAAGGCTTTTAGACCATTATAAAATCGGTTTTGATTGAAAAAATATCCAATGAATCATAATCGATTTTTAATAACAATAAAGCCTGTTCACGGATACTGAAAAAAAAAACTAATAGACTACTTTTCAATATTAACAAAAAAGGAGCAAAACTTGAATGATTTCAATATATTTGATGCTTGAATGATTTCAATATATTCGATGCTTCAGATTTACCAAACAGATGGGTCCATATACAACTTCTGACAAGTTTTACTTATATAACACAGGTTTAGGTCAAAGTTATCATTCCAATTGAAGAAGATCTAAAAAAATGAATCTGGCATCCATGAATATATCTACGTATTTTTTAGCACAAACATCCCAAATAAGTATGAGATTTTCAAAATATTGGTGAAAAGACATCCAACTGTCATGCTGCAAAGCGTGAGAAAGACAACTAATTTCATGCTTAGAATCGGGCCCATTGGATGGACAGACAAATGGGCAACCATACGCCCAACACCAATGCCACCAAAGTGAGAGTGAAAAACGCTATGCAAAACTAAAATACTGACATAAACGCCACATAGAATCTCCTTTCGAGAATAAGTTCTCCCTTAAAACAAGACATGACATATTCAGATCATCAAATACATTTGCCTCTGTTTTGTACAACTCTACACATTTGTATGTTTGTATGTATGTATGTACGTAGGTAGACCTAAGTGGCTGTTGAGAGAGTATATTTTTAGACGTTTCCTGGTAAACGCATGTAAATGTCATCCGATTTTAGCTGGGAACGATGGTGACGGGATGTATGTTTGTGTTTTTCAGGTTTTTTTTTTTTTTTGTATTCGACTGCTGTAAAAAGACTTGAACAAGGTGCCGGGATAGGTGCAAGCGGTAACACATTATAATTACCTCATCTCATGAGGGGAAATTTTATACTTTATTTATTTTTCAGTTGATGTATGACAAATATTATGTAATAAATTTTATTTGAAAAAAAAAACCGGAAATAAAATAAAAAAATAACAAATTCCATTTCATCGGCTGTGAATGTCAAGGAGAAATTCTTTTACAAAAATGTATGCAGGGGGACATTTTATGAGATTTCATTGGTAGAAGTAATACAATATTTTTACTTTGTATACAATTTATTAAACACCAAAGATGAATAGAATGTAGAGAGAATTCCTTTTTACATTCCTCAGTCATT